AACATCGAATTAAAGAGCTTAATTAGGTTTGAGACAAAGATCCCTCTATGTGACCTAAAACAAACGATATTAAATAAATATTTCATTATGTATTTCATGTATTTCATTTCAATGATAAAAAAATAAGATTTCAGTACATGCCTGGTTTATGCTGCTGGCACGCTCGTCTTACAGCAACGCTCAGAGTTATGACGTTTTATTATTTAAACTGCTGAAAAAAATCAGTTTTTTCTCTGGAATTATTGACTTCATTATGTTGGAAAACAAAACTGTGAAACTTTGAAAAGCAGCTTCAGTGTGGAACGTTGCTTCATGTCTACTCTGTACCAACAAATAACATCTCCTGTCTTCATGCAGTGTCCCTCCTACTGTCCTATATTCTTGTATTGTGCGCTGCTGTACTGCTGGCCTGGGGAAATATTTATCCTCTTTGCGTTCAGCTCTGCAGCAAATCCTCGTGCCTTTTGATAAAAGAAGAGCGAGCGCTCCCGGTCTATGATGAAGTTGTGGTAGATGGTGGCGAGTTGGGTGCACAGCTGCAACTGAGACTTTTTGTTGCCCAGATCCATGGCTGCAGCGAGAGCTAAGTGGTAGTATCCAGCAGCATCAAAAGGGTCCTGTCGAGGCAGGATTACAGTTTAGGCATATCGCCGATCACTCTGTTCATCAGATTCACATTTTATTATTTCAAATACAGAAAACAACCCACATCTATGACCCAGTCCATTACCTTCAGATCAGTGAATATAATGTCTCCCAGTGTTTGGTACAGCCTCACATAATACAGTGGCTCCTCATCGAACTGCAGAGGTGTTGGGCAGAGGGTCAGGGTCTTCAGGTAATAGTGCTCAGCCAGTTCATAGTGTTTCAGACAGTGGTACAGGGAGCCCAGACGGTGGCACGCCACTCGCTCATTCAGATGCTCACCTACGTGTTCACAGTTCATTTGGTTTTAGCACAGGACCTCATGTCAGCATGTAAGCCAGTGATACGTTTTCATAGGAGCAAACTTTGGAGTCTAATCATACCTGCTGTTCACAGCTGTCATGATTTATTATAATCTGTCATTACACACCCCAAAATTACTAAAACCAAAAGAAGACATTAGAATTTTATCGTCATTATATTAATAGAGATTAATAAGAAAAAAATACTGCAAACAGCAAGTAAATTACATTAAAAATGAAAATGTTTGTTTGACTGTTAGGATGTTCTCTGTATTATTTTAAAGTCTTTATCTCACAATTCAAAGTACCTTGAGGCGCCTCAGGTCATACAGGAGATAATGAAAATACTAGACAAACTAATGTTCAGAACACTATAGAGAAGTTAATGTTGAAGGCAGCTTATCTAAAATAACAGCTGATACTGTTGTGGGCAGTGTGAGGCAGCTTAACTGGATTCAGGCTCTGGGATTTGTGGATGCACAACGCACCACAAAAAAGCTACAAAACAAAGTTAGCAAATAACCGACTAACACTCTTACTTTGAGTGGACAGGAACAGAAAACACTAGTAAGCAATTATTGTGTGCTGAGGAAACCCTTGGTTGAGTGTCTATTCGAAGTTACCTGCAGGACAAATGGAAGCCCCTTACATATGTACAGTTTGTAAAACTGTACATATGTTACCGCTCCGACATGCCATTAATGCTTCCATAGTTCAGCATATAGTCACCTGAAAACACACCTATTATCCAAAGTGTTTTTAAAAATAGTTAAATTATGTTCTGTGTTATGTAGGTTAGCAATCAATGACAGTACAGGTACACACTGGGTACTACTAACCAGTCCTAAACTTGAATATTTTAGGTCAGCATCAGCACCTGACGAGCCTGAAAAAAGGGGACCAGCTGCATCTTTAAAGTGCTTTTAATTATAGTAGCAGTAGTTTTGAAAAGTACAGAGAATACACTTTGGTCCAGTGCTGACACACTTCATGAAAGACAAAAGATGGAAACGACTTCGGTGTGTGCTGGTTTGCTTACCCAGACTCTTACTCATGTCAGCTGCAACGTGAGCAAACTCCACTGCTTCCCCATACAGCTTGAGACAGAACATCACTTCAGTGAGCTTATTGCACAGCCTCAGTCTACTGTGAACGTTGTTGCTCTTCACTGCGATTGGCAGAGCACGGTCCTACATGCAATGAACATAAAAATACAGCCATTTAATTATGATAATTACTGCTTTTATTAGTTTGCACCAATTTTGGAGAAATTACAGTAATATCATCATAGCACAATAATGCTGAAAAGGTTTTAACACACATGGATAAATAATCTAATCCTACATAAGAATGACTGAAATCACATTATTCTAAAGTACCCTGTAGAAGATGACAGCCTTGTCCCGGTCCCGGCAGCTGTCGAAGAAAATGTCTCCTGCGGTTTCAAGAAGCTTCAAGATAAAGCTTGTGTCTCCTGTGCTCAAAGCTACATCCTGAGCTGCCTGAAAACACCAGAAATACAGGATTTCAGTGTATGATAAACAAATTTCATTTTGGCTAAAGCCGAAATCGCTAAAATTGTGAAGACTGCTCTTTCATCGACACATTTTCTTTGCTGATTATCTGACTTAAGAGTTGTGGTAAGTGGAGTAATTCTTTTATAATACTTTTCTACTCTGCGCAGACCCAGGACACACTGGTGAGATTACATCTCGTTATTGGCCTTGGATGCCTCAGTGTTTCCCTGAAAAACTGGAGGAAGTGACTGGGGAGTTGGCTGTTGTCTCCATAACCTGACCCAGAATAAGTGGAAGAAGACGAATGGATGGATTGAATTTGAGAGATATTCACGATGGCTGACATAGTTTTCAATGTAAACTTGCAATTCTGAGAATAATAAAAGTTTAAGACAATACAAATGAAAACACTGGTATCAGACCTGAACATAAATGTCCACCAGTTCAATCTGGCCCAGCAGCTGGTAGATCTTCCCGGCTTGTAGCCAGCCATATGCTTCCTTCTCCTTGCAGCCCAGGTCAATGAAAATACCCAGACTGGTCTTGGTGTAGTCAAGAGCAGCTCGGTACGCCCTGAAACAATTCAAAGATAACTTTTTTAAAGGTCTACAGTGGTCCCAGTGTTAATTTGATTCCATTCAATTTCATTTACCCTTCACAACAGCAGTTGCCTCAAAGCACCTTACACTATAAGGTAAACCCTACAATATTAGAAAAAAATCATCACAATCATACAGCCACCTATGAGCAAACACTTAGTGACAGTGGGAAAAACTATTTTTATATACTCTTCCTATCTGACAATCACACGCATTCATATTCTGATGCATCAGAGAGCAACTTGGGCAACTTGGCATGCAGACTGGAGCATTCGGCAAATGAACCAGCAACCTTCTGATTAGTAGGTGACCTGCTCTAGCACCTGAGTTATAGCTACCACAGGTTAAGTATACGCTACATGACAGGGGAACATGATGAAAACAGCCCCACCAAGGCTGGAGATGGAGCAACACTGGAAGATCACATGAAAGGAGGAAACAAGACATAACAATGCTAAATGGCTAGTGTAGCTAATAGCAGACCACAGCAACCTCCCTGAACAGGATCCAGTAACCATCACAGTGGCAGACATCGAAACAGAGTCTCAAGCATGAAGAGTTGGACAGCATCAGACGCTGACACGACTCAAGCATACTGGCTAAAGAAGCTAACTGTACTCCATGACTGCTTGGTAGCACAAATGAACCAGTTGCTAACGAATGAGACACACCCAAAATGGCTAACTGAAGGCTGGACAGTCCTGCTCCTGGTAGATAGAGCAGTTGTACGAGATTGTAAGATCAGGCTGACCAACCTGTGCACTACCTGGATTGACTACAAGAAAGTCTGGTCATGGGATGCCTCACACATGGATCCTTGAATGTGTAGAACTATACAAGATCAACCAAGAGCCTTCATCAGGAATTCAATGGGGATGTGGCGAACAACACTAGAGGCTAACTTCAAGCCAACTCATACAGTCATTCAAACTGGTGATGGCTAACCAACCAAATATAGTAGTGGTGGAGAAGCAGAATAAGACAACCATGGTCCCCGTGGTCAACAGAGAACTCGGGGCAGTGACTCCCTAAGCTAGGTGAGTGGCTCCAGCAGATTCCAGGAATGACATCCGAGATCTCTGTCCAGCAGAGTGCAGTCTTAGGAACGGCTAAGATACTGCACAGTACCCTCAAGCTCCCAGACCTCTGGCAGAGGACCCGAGCTTGAAGGATAAAAGAGGAGCAAGTGGTGTGAAATTATAATGTGTATAGATCCCTTTGAGTTCTGTAGAATGAAAAAGCTAAACAAAAATATCCGAAACCAGCACTGGGCAAAACACATTTAGCACTGTGAAAGTAACATGACAGGAGTGTTTAAAATTCTTCTTCTCAAATGGAAGGTCTGGAATAATCAGGCCTCGTCTTATCATAAAGACCTCAATAGTACCGTATCACTCAAATAGAGCACTTCGCTCTCAAACTGCCGGAGCCTTCAGCTTTCAGTCCCGATCTGATCTAAACCACAGAACACTGCACTTTGCTGCATAAAAGGTAAGTGAATGTCATATTCCAGTCATACTGCAAGTCTACATGCACATACTGTTCTGTGCCAATAGAAAGGTAGATCTGGCTGATTGCTTCCAGTGCTTCTCCCTCCTGTTCTCTGTATCCGGTGCGTCTCAGCAGCTGGACTTGGTGCTGACTGTAGAGTATCCACTGAACCTGGTTTGGAATCTTACACTCATACAGACGACACAGACATCGTGTTACACCGAGCTCGTCTGGCGAAGTGACAGAGAGAAAGAAGGACAGTTTTAACACAGAATATAAGATACTGCTATGGTTATGTGACATTCATACTTACACTCTAACAAGTTAGCATTGATTGCCAGAAGCAGAGCCCACTCATAGCATCCTTTCCCATAGTCCAGCTGCTGTTGCTTCACATAATACTTTCCCAGCTCCATCAATACGGGGATAAAGTTTTCCACATTGCTTTCTTCACTGAGCTCAGAAAAAAGCTGAACTGCCTCACACAGATGCCTCTCTGCTAGTGTTTTCGCTCCAGCCTTCAGACACAACAACCCTTTATGAAGATGAGAAAGAGTCATAACATAGTTGGAGCGAAACATTTATGCGCAGTAGGATATTCTAGCTTACCTAGATTGGCCTGAGCTACGGCCCCGTTTGGCATATCTTCAAACTCTTGGCAGATGTCAATAGCAGCCTGGTAGCTCTCTGCTGCCCTCCGAACATCACCCATACATCGAAGTGCCACGCCCCGCATGTTGAGAACCACACCTTTGCATTGCATTAAAGAAATTTACTTTAACATTTAAGAAATGCCTGTTTGCTAAATCTTTATCCTACAGTACACTCCACAGTTTTATTAATCAGTCGAAGGCCTGAGTCTTTCTAAAGGTGACCACTTTCTTTAGTTAAAAGTTTCAGCTGTATGTAATATATATAACAAAAGGAGTTAGTCAAGATCCCAGATACCAAAATAGTTATATGTGCAAAGCTGTGGTTAAACTCTGATGTAACTCTGAATGAAGATGTGGAAGAGAGGCAGAGGTTAATAATAACTAATCATTAAATGCTGAGTGATGCATACAGTGGGGCAAAAAAGTATTTAGTCAGCCACCGATTGTGCAAGTTCCCCCACCTAAAATGATGACAGAGGTCAGTAATTTGCACCAGAGGTACACTTCAACTGTGAGAGACAGAATGTGAAAAAAAAAATCCATGAATCCACATGGTAGGATTTGTAAAGAATTTATTCGTAAATCAGGGTGGCAAATAAGTATTTGGTCAATAACAAAAGTACAACTCAATACTTTGTAACATAACCTTTGTTGGCAATAACAGAGGTCAAACGTTTACTATAGGTCTTTACCAGGTTTGCACACACAGTAGCTGGTATTTTGGCCCATTCCTCCATGCAGATCTTCTCGAGAGCAGTGATGCTTTGGGGCTGTCGCCGAGCAACACGGACTTTCAACTCCCGCCACAGATTTTCTATGGGGTTGAGGTCTGGAGACTGGCTAGGCCACTCCAGGACTTTCAAATGCTTCTTACGGAGCCACTCCTTTGTTGCCCGGGCGGTGTGTTTTGGATCATTGTCATGTTGGAAGACCCAGCCTCGTTTCATCTTCAAAGTTCTCACTGATGGAAGGAGGTTTTGGCTCAAAATCTCACGATACATGGCCCCATTCATTCTGTCCTTAACACGGATCAGTCGTCCTGTCCCCTTGGCAGAAAAACAGCCCCATAGCATGATGTTTCCACCCCCATGCTTCACAGTAGGTATGGTGTTCTTGGGATGCAACTCAGTATTCTTCTTCCTCCAAACACGACGAGTTGAGTTTATACCAAAAAGTTCTACTTTGGTTTCATCTGACCACATGACATTCTCCCAATCCTCTGCTGTATCATCCATGTGCTCTCTGGCAAACTTCAGACGGGCCTGGACATGCACTGGCTTCAGCAGCGGAACACGTCTGGCACTGCGGGATTTGATTCCCTGCCGTTGTAGTGTGTTACTGATGGTGACCTTTGTTACTTTGGTCCCAGCTCTCTGCAGGTCATTCACCAGGTCCCCCCGTGTGGCTCTGGGATCTTTGCTCACCGTTCTCATGATCATTTTGACCCCACGGGATGAGATCTTGCGTGGAGCCCCAGATCGAGGGAGATTATCAGTGGTCTTGTATGTCTTCCATTTTCTGATGATTGCTCCCACAGTTGATTTTTTCACACCAAGCTGCTTGCCTATTGTAGATTCACTCTTCCCAGTCTGGTGCAGGTCTACAATACTTTTCCTGGTGTCCTTCGAAAGCTCTTTGGTCTTGGCCATGGCGGAGTTTGGAGTCTGACTGTTTGAGGCTGTGGACAGGTGTCTTTTATACAGATGATGAGTTCAAACAGGTGCCATTCATACAGGTAACGAGTGGGGGACAGAAAAGCTTCTTACAGAAGACGTTACAGGTCTGTGAGAGCCAGAGATTTTCCTTGTTTGAGGTGACCAAATACTTATTTTCCACCCTGATTTACGAATAAATTCTTTACAAATCCTACCATGTGGATTCATGGATTTTTTTTTTCACATTCTGTCTCTCACAGTTGAAGTGTACCTCTGGTGCAAATTACTGACCTCTGTCATCATTTTAGGTGGGGGAACTTGCACAATCGGTGGCTGACTAAATACTTTTTTGCCCCACTGTAAGTGTGAAGCAGAAACACTCCTAGGCCAATTACTAAGGAAGGATTCAGAGTCACCAGGTCCAGTTCTAACTAAACAGAAGTGCAAAGGGTGTCATTTTAGATGAACTTTTCAGGGAATTATATTACATTCTGATAATAATGAATTACAGTAGAGCAGTCTGGAAGTAATGAAAGCATGAACTAATTTATCAGCATCACTCTGAGACAGGATGTTTCTAATTTTAGAGATGTTGCACAAATGGAAGAAAGTTATACATATTTAATACATGAATTAACGGACAAATCCTGGTCGAAAATGACTCCAAAATTCTTACTGTTACTGGAGGCCAACGTGACAACATCCCGAGTAAGCATCTGGTTAGACATGTTTCAGATATTTTTAGTACAAAAACCTCAGTTTCATCTGAATTTAGAAGCAGGAAATTAGAGCTTATCCAGGTCTTTATGTCTTTAGACATTCCTGAAGTTTAACTACTTGTTGTGTGTTATCTGCCTTTGAGGTAGACCTTGGTTTATAACTACATTTAAGAGTGTGAAACAGCAGATTACAACTTTGAAATATGAGCTGCAGTTTTTAAAACAAAGTATAGTTTGAAGACAAAATGAAAAAGCTAAACAGCTCAGCACACACAGCTTTGCTTATTCCAGTCTCTTAAGGTCAAATGACAGATTTTAAAACTCAGGAAGAGATGGTCCATACAGATCTGGGATCAAAAATATAAAAAGCAAATAAAATATGATATCACTTCCTGTTTATCAGCTTTACAGTGAATTTGCTATAAAGGACATATTTGTAGAAGCAAATCTTAAACTTTTGTGAGGCTCAGCCTGAAGGTCATCTGTGCAAATTTGGGTGAAAACTAAAAAACACTTAATTTTTAATGCGATTTATAGAAACACCCTCACCTTCCTGAGGAGTTGTGCAGTGCTCTGGAATCGAAGCCAGGATTGATTCCAGTATGTCCAAAGCAACTGCAGGCTGACTGTTGTCAATGTGAAGCCACGCCAGCCAGATGAGAAAACCTTTTCTTTCTGAAACAGAGACGCAAACTTGCCTCGAAGGACTGTTGTTGATGAGAGCCTGCATATGGCAAATCGCATGTCCCGTCATCTTGTGTTTGCAATAGAGTTGGCAAAGACAAACAGTGAGCTGGTGGCTCAAAATTTGGTAATGGTTTCTCTCTCTACTTTGGAGCTTTGTAAAAGTGAGAGCTTTGTGCAAATATGGAGCCATCTGAGGTGGAACGGGGGTTTCTTGTTCAGCGACACTGTCCAAAAGTAATACCATACTGCCAAGACAGTCAGAGAGCGTGGCAGAGGGCAGCAGAGAAGCTCTCCTGACTGAACTGGCACTGAGGTGGGGACGGTGAAGTTCACTGTAAAGCTTTCCCAGTGCCAGATATCCATGACTGGGAGAGATCCTCCATGGTCTTTGAGCTTCATCACAAAGAATGAGTAGCCTTTCCAGATAAGGAACAACTTGAGCTCCCATAGCAGAAGTCCAGTGGTGCTTTGCCAACAGCAGACAAGCCCGGGCTTCTGCCATTTTGTTGTGAGAGAGGATAGCTTTCTTGAGCATGTATTTAAGAGAAGAGTTGTCCTCTAAGCTTTTCAGACAATCTGGGATTCCTATTAGTAAGGCAACAAGTCGTTCTGTCACAGCAAAGAAACTTTCTGTATTTTTCTGCAAAAGATATGTTGCAGCAAGGTTGGAGAAGATGCTGGCCAACAGCCTGAGGTCTGTGAAGCCTTCTCTTGGGACACTGAGAGTTTCCTCAAAATAAACCTGGGCTTGATTGAACTTTGACCTACCCACACAGAACTTCCCCAACAGGAAGCATAAACGAGTTTGTGACCAGAAAAGGTGTTTCTTCTTGGCTGTCTCCCTGGCAACAGCCAGAAAGGAAATCAGTTCATCCTCATCACAGTGACCAGTGAAAGTGGAGGAGGCCAGTTTTTCAGAACTCAGTCCGTACAGAATGCCAAACTCTACTTTGTAGTCTCGGCCGTCCAAAAAAGATAAGAGTGGAATCAATGTGTTTTTGTTCCCTTCAACTGGTTGGACCACAAAAGAGGGAAGTTTGGG